GCTGGGGGACAGGGAGGGGTGGGCCTGTCCTCCTAGGGAGGGGGAACCTTAGCAATACAGAACAATTAGAGAGATAAGATGACGTCGGGGGCAAGGAGGGAGCTCCCGCAGGATGTAGTTTAGGGTGGTTGGAGTATGAGGGGGGGGGGCAGATTTGGGCGATGGTCTTCAATTGATTGCCTCGTTCATGCGGGCGCGAGAAGTGCAGACAGGGTTACCAGGTGAGAGAGAATGGCGGGGGGGGGCGGAGGCGAGGCAGCGCGAGCCGCGGCGGCGCGAGCCGCGGCGGCGCGGGCGGCGGCGGCGCGGGCGGCGGCGAGGGCGGCGTCGCACCGGTCCGGTTGTCGCACTCGAGCGCGTGGACGGGGCCGATGCGCGCGGCCTAATTAAATCGTAATTAATGAGAGAGTATTTAATTAAGGACGGGGCCGGGGCGCGCGGCCTCAGCGTGGATCTCCTCGACCGCCTTCGAGCGGTCCGCCTCGCCGGAGGAGCCCGCGCCTAGAAGGTTCCTAGAAGGTTCCTGGAGCTTCCTAGAAGGTTCCTCGCCTCGCCGGAGGAGCCCGCGCCCTCCGTCTCCATCGGCGTTGGCTCGGCCGGCTTGGCGGCGAGCGCCGCGGCGCCGGCTAGGGTGTGCTCTCCAGTGTCGGCCGGCGCGGCGGCGGCGGCGGCCTTGTCGGCGGCAACCTTGTCGGCGGAAGCCTTGTCCGCTGCAGCCTTGTCGCGCGCCTCTTCGAGCCTGTTGTTGTGCGACGCGATGTTTGCCTGCAGCTCTTTTGTGCACAGGTTCCGCACGTCGAGCACGTCGGGGAAGGAGATCGGGCGGAGGATCTTCGCGCGCTTCTCGGTATCCTTGCGGTACTGGAAGCGCACAAAGTTGACGGCGAGGTAGGGCGGGAGGCGGGCGATCTGCTCCGTCTTGTCGAAGAGCGCCTCGCGGCCGAGCGCGGCCGAGTGCTTCTCGATCGACTCGGAGAGGGACGCCTCGACCGCCGTGTAGAGGTGCGCCTGCCCGCGGCAGAGGGTGGTGAGGGAGGAGGCGCTTCGCAGCCGCGGCCCGGCGGCAGGCGCGCCGTCTTCTCGTTGATGTGGCACTTGAGGACCGTGTCCTTCTCGCGCTTCTCGTACGGCTCCTCGCCACCCGCCTCGGCGCACGCGTACCTCGTCACCTTCTCGACGCCTACGGGACGCGTCGCGGACATGTCACGCGCGCCCCCAGACACGTCGACCGCTGCCACCTCTCGTCGCCAAAGAGCGCGTCGCCGAGGTTGTCGCGCAGCTCCTGCTGGTGCGGCAGCAGCGGCGGCGAGGCGTTGTCGAGGTCGGACGGCGCGCCGCCTAGAAGGTTCCTAGAAGGCTCCTAGAAGGCTCCTAGAATGTCCCTGGAGGTCGGACGGCCCGGCGCCGTCGGGCAGCTTGAGCCGCTGCGCGAGCACATTCGTGACGAGCGTGGACCAGCACTCCTGCGCGTCCTGCTGCACAAAGCCGCGCCCGCCCTCGGCCTGCTGGGCGAACATCGGGAAGTTCTGCCGAAAGACCGACACGAACTTGAACGGGCGCACCTCCTGCGTCGCGTTGGACCGCTCGAGCTCGCCGACCAGCTCACGCATCGCAAACAGCAGCGCCTTCTCAGACTCGCCGCCGGTGCCGGCGTACTTTTGCAGCGCGAGCGATACCTCGGGGATGCGGATCATCACCTGCAGCGACGAGTTGAGGTAGCAAGTGTTGCCGAGGTTCGTCAGCCCGCCCGGGTTCTTGGACGCGGTGAGCGCGGCGACGTCGACCGCGGGCATGTCCTCCACGAAGATCGTCTTCTCGGCGGGCGCCTCGGGCACCGCCTCGGCCGAACCCATGAGCATCAGCACCTGGCCCTGCTTGACGCCCAGCGCCTCCCAGTCCGCGCCGTCCTTGACGGTGCCTCCCTTGACGCCCATGATCTTTTGCCGCTCGACCGGCACGTTGGTGAGCGCGAATAGCTGCGCCTTGAAGAGGTCGACTGGCGCCGACTTGTCCAGCTCGACGGCCTCGAACTTCTTCTTGCCCCACTTGACGGTGACGTTGATTGTGGACATATATATATATTTGCGGCGGCGGAACGCGAGACAGCCTGGCTGCGGAAAGAATTTTACCACCCGACGCTGGATGTAGCGCACCACACTCCTCTCCTTGAAATCCCTGTGTGGTGGCGGCGTGCCGTCCTCCCATCCCTCCCTTGGGTTGTGTGTTTTCTTTCTTTCTTTCTTTTGCGGTTGCTGACTGCACTCCAAGTGCTCCAAGCAAACTCCCTCGCACAACACTGGGCACGGGACTGGCGCGCACTGGCACTAACACAGGTACACCACGGGAGCCGCCTAAGCGACTCCTGCGAGGGTGGCGAGGCACTTAGCTCCGTGCACCCGCCCACCCCCGCCACAGGCAAGCTCATTCACGACCTGCTCTGCGATGGCCGTGTGAAGAACGACTGAGATACGCTGCTTCTGCAGCCCCAGCCAGCTCTTGGTGGTCCAAGTCACCTCATCGAGGTACTGGGCCCGCGTCAGCTTGTTCTGTAGCACGTCCGCCGCCCTCCGGAGGATCTCACGGACCCCCTTTCCGAACCCGCCGAACGATTCGAACAGCAGCAGCTGCACCTCGACGCCCTTGTCTTCCCTGGCGTAGCGATAATCCCCGGATTCACTCCTATGCACCTTCGGTGAGGGTACATTGGCGCGTAAAAGGAGAGTCACGGAATCGCGCGCGCCTCCACCAGGAAGGGCTACGCAGTATCCCTGACATCCCAACGCGCAGTGGAGGAGGAGCGAGGGCAGGTGGCCCGGAAAGCCCAATGAACCCCACAGAAGGGGCAACTGGCCGTGGCATGGAGCCACAGAGGCGACAGCCAAATCACGAGAGGGGTGAGGCCGGTCGCCGAGCGTCCAGAGGCCGCCGGGAATCGAGCCACCACCGTCAAGGCGGCAAGGGAGAAAGCACCACCCAACACCGCCGTGAAGGACGCAGAGGCAGAAGAAGAGGTAGGAGAGGAGAGGATCTCCGTGAGTCTCCTGCGGGAAACTAGTGGCCTATCACGAGTTAGGGCCCCTACCCCAATCGTTATTGGCGAAGACGTTATTTTTTGCGCCTAACACGCTCATGTGGAGCGCCGGCCTTTCGCTGTTGTTGTTAGTTGTCCTCCGAGGTGTTGAGCCAGCGTCATGACTGCGGCCCTGTTCGCTCTCCTCCTCCTTCCAGCGCTCAACGACGACGCTGACCCTCGCACCCTCGTCCGCTGGGCCTCGTCGCGCTGCGAGCCGGCCGTAAGCGGCTCGTGCGGCCGCGAGCCGCACGGCTACTGCGACGCGTCGGTCGGCCGGTGCGTCTGCTCGCCCGGCCGCTTCGGTCCGCGGTGCGAGCAGATGCACTACCCGGCCTGCCGGCTGCACCCCGACGGCGAGATGGCGTGCGACACCTTTGTCGGCCTCATGTCCTGCGCGTGCCGCCTCTCGTGCGAGCAGAGGTACGGCTCGATGGCGCGGTTCAACACGCCTCTCTGCTGGGACGAGTCCGTGTCGGACGAGGAGCTCAGCCGCCGGTCGCTGCAAGCCGACGGCGGCCGCTCTCCAGCGACCCTCCGCACCCACACACTCCCCACCCTCCCCGACGCAAGCGGCCGCGCCTCGCTATCCCAGGCGCCCTCACCGCCCTCTCGCTGGTCAACACGTCCGACTTCCCGGCGGCGAGCGCGAGCATCGTCTTCCGCACCGACCAGTGGCCGCTGCGCGGCCGCTGCGCGCGGAAGAACATCGCGCCTGCCAAGCTCGCCGCCTGCACCTCGCGCACGGCCGTTGGCCACAACAAGGCGACGAGGCAGCGAGGAGAGGGGGGGGCGCCTCCGCTCTCCCCGCGGACGCCGCCCGTCGCCGCGCCTCAGGCGAGGAACATGCTCGGCGGCGACCCCGTCCCCAACTGGCGCTGCCCCGGCTCCTGCTCCCACCGCGGCACGTGCCTCGTCCCCGCCGCCTAGACACTTCTGGGGCCTTCTAGGAACCGTCCAGGAACCTTCTAGGCACGTGCCTCGTCCCCGCCGCCTAGACACTTCTGGGGCCTTCTAGGAACCGTCCAGGAACCTTCTAGGCACGTGCCTCGTCCCCGCCGCCTAGACACTTCTGGGGCCTTCTAGGAACCGTCTAGGAACCTTCTAGGCACGTGCCTCGTCCCCGCCGCCGTCCGCTCGGAGCACGCGCGGGAGCAGTACCCGCTGCAGGGCGAGCGCGCCGGCGAGGCCCTGCCCCCGCCTCCGTGTGCGCGTGGGCGTGTGCCCTCACGCCTGCCGCACCGAGCAGGCGAGATTACCCGAGATTACCCGAGATTGCCCTCACGCCTGCCGCACCGAGCAGGCGAGCCGAGCTGCGTCTGCCACCGCGGGTATGTCGGCCGCGCCTGCGAGGCTGTCAGCCCGTCCGAGGAGCGCGTGCGCCTCGCGGCAACGCCGCCTGCCGACGCCGCGTCCGTGACGCGACCGTGAGTCGTGTCCACAGGAGCCGTTCGGCGCGTCGAAGTACGGCTCGCTCTGCCTCAACGGCCGAGGCTGCTCCGGCCACGGCGCGTGCGTCGCCCGCTTCTGCCTCTGCCACGCCGGTTGGGCGGGCGCAGACTGCTCGCTCCCAAACGCTCCGAGCCGGCCGCTGGCGCCGCCCGCCGCCCTGCCGAGCGCGCAGCCGATTGGCGGGCGGCGCGTGCCCATCTACATCTACCCGCTGCCGACCGAGATGTCGCTCGAGCACGTCTACATGCGCGACATGCTGCGGCGAGGCCAGTACTACGCCAACCTCATGTTCCTCGAGGTGACGCGTCCTCCTGCCCAACCTCCTGCCCAACTCGCCATCGCATGTC